TTTTTTGATATTTTTAGTTTTTTTTTTAGAAAAGTATATAAAGAAAAAAAACAAACTAAAAATTAAAAAAAAAATGATACTAAATTTAAATAAAAAAAAAAAAAAAAAAATTTACCTGGCCCAGCATGGGTTGTTGACCCCACTTGTAAATAATTACGTTTTTTTTTGTAAAATTTAAAATAATTAAAAAGAATGTCAAATTACCTTTTGAACATTTTATTAATGATTTTTGATGCACTTAAATTTTTTTTTTTGATATTCAAAGCTTTAAAACTAAGTGAAAATTTTATTTTTACACATTTTCATAAAATAGACCAATTAAAAATGTTTAATAATTTTAATTTTTTTTTATATGCCAAAACTATAAAATAATGTAAAATTAATTGACCCAAATTATTTTATTTATAAAAAAATTTCTCTCACAATTTTTTTTAGAATGAAAATAAAAATTAAATAATTTAAAAAAAAATTAAAAACAATTTTTTCATTCTATAGTAGTTTCAGAGAATTTTTATTTATCACTAAAGATAAATTTTAAATTTATTTATCAAAAGAATAAAAAAAAAGTTATATTTCTCACACAGTCTAACAGTCAGCTTACAAAGTTAATCCTGATATTGCTTTAGATAAATAAATAAATGTGTATAAAAACACTCCAAAAGGAATTCGGAAAGTCACAAGTAGAAGCACATAAAAGTCACTGTTTTTTCCTCAAAGAAGATGATTTAAAGATATAAACAATAGATGAAAGATGAACGCAACACAAAATAAAAGAAAAAAAGAGTTTATTATTTAGCCGGCGGCATTCAAGATAAATGCTTTTTATTTTTAGGGGAGAGATTCGTCACTGAATTCGGGCTGTATTGTTAAAAATTACATCGGTGTAGTATATCTGATACCCGTAGCTATAACTATAAGTAGCGGAAACATTAATTAAATCCAACTTTAGTAACTGTTTTAATAGTAATAGTGATAATAATAGTTTCCTTTCCTCCGTTAATGCTTTATGACTTTTAGTTTTAGTTTCAGCTTTAACTCGAACTGAAGCTCTCTTTATTTATCGAGGTTTATTCCTGCTTCAAATACCCGAGTACTCGATGCAATAAAAATCTCGAACAATAAAATATTTCGACGACTGAGCAAATATTTTTTCTTGTGTAAAAAGCGATTTTGTAACCGTTATTTTATTTATTCAATAAAATATACAAATTGGTGTTCGTGCGAGTTTCCTCAGCACAATCAGTAATCCATTATTAATAGCTGAATTCACCCTGATTTATAATATTTATCATTTGGTATTGAAATTTTGCATAATTGATTTAACATTGAGAATTCTGGATACAATCTATTTATTTAATCATGCGTTCTATTTACTCACCGAATCGTGTATTTATTCATCAGTCGGTTCTATTATTATTATTATTTTTATTTTCATTTTTTTAAAGGCTGAAGTGGAAGAAGCGCTGGATATCATTGAAGCAGCGTCATCGAATTCACTCGGCGAGGATTGTGCGTCGACGGCAGGATATAAATCTCTACCAACTGGAGCAGCTTTGGATCCAAGACGATTCGATGCAGCGAGACAGAAAATAGATATGGCTGCTATGATGATGCAGAATCTCGGATCAAATAATCATCCACGTAAGCTTTAACAGAGATCTCCAAATATATATCTATCATATGTAATGGGATATTTTCATTTTAAACAAATGCGAGGGAGCGCAATGTTTTTTTGAGTACTTATTTATCAAATAGATTATTTTTTTAAACAGAGATTTTATAAAAATCCACCGTATATAGTTATTTATTTATTTATTTATAATTACAATTTTTGACAAAAAGCCACTATCTACTGCAATTTATTTTACATAATTGTCAACAATATAATGTTTCTATTTATACAGATTTTTGTAAGATTTGTTCCATCAATTTGCGCGGTTTTTTTTTTAACACTTTCATGGACGGATGTGACACTTGTCGTATTTTTAAAAATATTAAACGAGGAACAAAATAGTGCGTGTTAACACAATTTTAGTATGACACTGAAATTAATAGACATCTGACAATTTTTTTTTAATAGAAAAATTTTAGCAAAGAAATTGAAAAAAAATTCTACATGTAAAAATTTTAAAAAATTGTGAGTGCAATTAAAATTTTTTTTTAATTCTAATGTAATTAATGAAAAAAATTGTTGGACTTCAGTGTCACGTTTTGGTGTTTCATTTTAACCCAGCTATTAGTTTTTATCAGCGACGTAATGGCTACGAAAAAAATTTGATTTTTTAGAAATGTATTTTTCAATTAATAAAATTTCACCGCGGTATTTAATTGCGTTTATTTATAAAAAATAAAATTTTAAATTGTTATATACGTATTTGGCTAAGATATATGATTTTATATGAAAATGTCACTTTCATAGATCCTCAGAAAAAATTGACCGGTGTGACCCTATCAACCCCTATCAATCAGGGCCGCTAGCTCAACTATTTTTTTCTTACAAAGTAAGGCGAGAAATGAAAATTACTCATATATCACATATCATATATGATATATTATGAGAATTATGTCATAGGGGGAAAGAAATTTAGTAAAAAAATACTATTGAGGATTTAAATATGAATAAATTTATCTTTATCTCGGAAAATTTAACTCTTAATAATTTTAGATTTACAAATTTTTATTCCTAAAATTCAGAGTAATTCTTATTTAAATTCTTATCGATGGATATGTTATATATTTATTGTTACAAATGCAGAAAGAATTTATTCGTATAAAATTTTATCAATGCCAATATAAATGTTAGAGACTGTAAAAATTTTAAGTATGAAAATAAAAAAAAAAATTTCATATCGAATTCTCAATGGTTAAATTTTCTATACAAATAATTTTTATTGCATTATCATTTTTTTATAATCATAATTTTTTAAATCAAGAATATAAATATAAAATAAGAATAAAAAAAAAATTGACTGAAGATCTTTAGGGATGTGACCTCCCCCTACATATTGTATGAATAATAATATATATAATAATAACAATAAAATGAATGATTGATTGATAACACCAGCAGGACTGTTGGACGCAGTAGCACGATCACTTTTGTCATCGGTCAACAATGCAATAGCAACGAGAGTTGTCGTTCTGAATGCATCGACGGATATTGTTATCGCGGAAACCTGGTTAAAACGTACGCCGAGTAGTATGGGTGAACCAATAAAACTTGAAAGCGACACCCTGCGCGCGGGATATCGACCGCATCCAGGACTCCCTTGGTTCGAGAAACCCGGAGGCTCTACTTCGCAATTGAGGTTCTTCAATACCTTTTTTTTCTCTATACTTCTCTGCTCTAATATTTTCATGTGTTTCCTCATTTACATATTACCTATAAATATATATACACTGAGAGAAAAAATTTCTTTTGAAAAATTTGTTGGAAATTTTCAATAATTTTATTTTTTAACTGAAGAAATCAAAATTTTTTCACAGTAACTTTCTTGTTGGAAAAAAGTTTTCTAGATTTGGAAAAAAATAATTTTAGATAGACAACTTAAGAATTTTCATCCAAATTTTTTTTTTTTTCTAAATTTAGAAAACGTTTTTTCAACATTAAAGTTACTGTGAGAACAATTTTAATTTCTTTAGATAAAAAATAAATTGTAAAAAATTTTTAACAAACTAGCAACCTGCAGTCACTAAATGATTACCGAGATTTATGAATTATGAAAAAGAAAACTTTAGCTTAATGATTTTTTTATATTTATAATCACACTGTTCATAGTTTGGATACTTTTTGAATAAATTTTAAAAATAATATTGCTATCACAGGATCAATTGCAAATAATTTAATGGACAAATGTGACCGAACAAATTTATAGAACCAAAAAACTATTAAAAACTCCTCCAAAAAATTGACTACTAAAAAATATATAAAACCAAAAGACACTAATTCTTATCAAAACCTTTCTGATGATGCCAAATTAAACTATAAAAATTTCTTTAAAAATAATCATATGCTCATCACAAAATTTTCCTTTCTCTCTCAATTATTTAAATTATAAATAACTATCGCTAAAAAATATAAAACCCAATTTATGATAAAGATATACCTGTTACTAAATTTTTCTCAGTCTCTTAATCATATAAATTAATTTTTGACATAGAAAAAAACTATTTTATCATATAAATACACTGGCGACAAAATTTTGCTTATTCTCTTAATAATATAGATTAATTTATTGTCACAAAAATATTTATTTTTTTCAAAAGAAATTTTTTCTCTGACCCTATAAGAACCTACACCCACACAGATTATAATATAGCTTCAGCATAATTTTCCAATAATCAAACCCGATTTGAAAGGTTAATTTATTTATGCTCGTGTCGATGATATGTTTATTAAATTTTCCAGGTCTCCGAAGTTCGTGTTATCAGCGCCGATAGAGTCATACATGGGCTGGTGGACGGTGCCATATCTGTCCTGCAAAACCCACCAGTGGATAATATCATACAGCGTGTATGTTCGGCAATCGGATGCACGAACCGGGTAATTTATTCAGATTAACGCTCTAACATAGTTTAGTTAAATCCATTTTAAACTTCAGTTCACATTTGCATTGACATTAAACTTTAAAAGTTAAGTATTAGATAAGAGTGAGTATTTATTCTGAAACAAAAAGCCAGATAACTTTTAATAATATATACAAGAGTTTGTAAAGTGAATATTATTAAAAACTTTTTACAGACGCATCGTCGTCGTATACCATACTGAATAATCGCGATCGATTATTGCAGCACTCGTGACTTTTTAAGTGTCGATATCGACATCAGTGGCCTGGAAGTCAACCAATGCGACCAAGAAACGTCTTCTTCTGCTGATTCAGCTCCAACTTTTACATCTTCTTCTTCTTCTTCGAGTTCTACTTCAGATGGCATCCGTCAACATTTGGATACTTTTGGGGCCGCATCTCCTCGAGATAATCAGATGGAATCCTTCAGCGGCTCACACAAGTGTCACAACGATACTACGCAAGTAAACATAATCAAGATTAATTAGATATAATTTTGTTAAAAGTTATCCGTACTGTATTAAGCTTAATTAATGATGATGATGATGATGATGATGATGGATAAAATATTCTGTAGTAAAAAGCAGGAACTAATGAATAATTATACTGAGGAATTTGCAGTGCGAGTACAGAGGACCCTTCAGCAGCAGCAGCAGCAGCAGCAGCAGCAGCAGAAGTGCCGAGATCAGCGTATCACCCATAGCGCCCGGATGGGTAAAAGGTGCCTACGTATGCAGATGTCGTGACGGATTTTACAGCCTAGATCTTTCTAGTGCCGCTGAAAGAGAGCTCGCAACTTTTGACGGTGTACTTGTAGAAGGTATGCATTGCTCAACACTCTTGCTCCTCCTGTACTGGTCTTGTGTCTTTTATCTTCCATCTTCAATCTCCTATTTCTATGAATAGCCCTGAAAAGTTTTTTCAACGTTAATTATACGGCTAAGAGATACTTACCTTCTTTTGCTGAGTCAAGTGTCTCAGTTTAAAATTGTCCATTTTATTTTTTAATTACTTAACTTTTGTCGCTAAAACAATGTATTTTTTTTATTCTAATTTAAAGCTGCGTGGAGAGAAATGCAGCTGAATAAAAGTGATTTGTATGATAAAATGTTTAGATGCACTAGATGTGCTGTCGGTTGTATAACTTGTACAGGTCCAGAACCTTGCTTAGCAACTTATCATTGGCCATTTAGGTATGAACAATAACAATAACAATAATAATTATAATAATTATTGAAACTTTTTAAAAATTTTAATTTATAATTATTATAATAAAAATGATGAATTATTTATTTCAGAATAACTTTGCTGACGTTTTCGATATTTTGTTCGTGTGGCGCCGTCCTTTTAATATTTTATGTCTACAAACATCGGAAGCTCAAAGTATTCAAGGTTGCATCGCCAATTTTTCTATCCATCACTCTACTCGGGTGTGCAATTATGTACCTAGAAGTGAGTTAAGTACTTTTAGTGCTATTTTAATAATTCACTGGCTAATAATTATTGAAATTGATTTTCTATTAGTCATTAATTAGTTATTAGCCATTAGTTATTAAATATTAATAGAAAATGAGAGTAAATAAAATGTTCGAAGCGCGACAAAATAATTAGATAATTAATTTCTAATTTATTATCAATTAATAGAAGAGATAGGAGATAAGTATAATATTAACACTCGAGTTTTCGGTGCACTTGTAGATGGCTGCAATATTTCCCGTACTTGACGTCTACTCTTGCATCGCAACCAAGTGGACAAGACATCTTGGGTTCTGCATATCTTATACAGCTCTGCTAATGAAAACCTGGAGAGTATCATTGACGTATCGCGTCAAGAGCGCTCACAAAGTTAAGCTCACCGACAAGCAGCTACTACAGTGGATGATTCCCATTCTGCTTGTTATGATTATTTATTTGAGCACTTGGACACTCAGTGCTCCGCCTGACGCTCATGTTATTGCTGACAGCCAAGGTCTAAAGTTTTATCAATGCAATTATAATTGGTGGGATCACAGTCTTGCAATAGGTTTGTATTTCTCCTTTTTTTTTTTTTTTTTTTTTTATTAATTTTATTCTATTTATTTTGATGACAATAAAGTTAGCCGACATCTAAAAATTTTTAGAATTTTTTTTATTGAAAAAATTATTTTAAAAAAATTAATTGAAAAAATTTCACATGCAGAAAGTTTTAAAAATTATCCATGCAATTTTGTGAAAATGATTTTATTGTTCTAGTTTAATTGATAAAAAAAAAAAATCTCAAATTGTTGAACGTCGGCTAATTTTAATGTCATTTATTTTCACTATTATTATTGTTATAAATAATGGATAATAAATGATATATTTTTATCACACAGGGGAGATATTATTTCTCGCGTGGGGGATAAGAGTGTGCTACAACGTGCGTAATGCCGAGAGCTTATTCAATGAAGCTAGATTAATTAGTTACGCAATTTATAATATTGCCGGTGTAAATACAACAATGATAGCAATTCAGTAAATAATTTATTTTTATTCATTTATTTATTTTAAAATTATAAAACGTGATTAATTATTTAATAAATTTTTATTTCAGTCTTTTTATATTCCCACACGCTGGACCAGACATTAAGTACACTCTGGGTTTTTTACGTACCCAACTATCAACAACAGTAACTGTTGGCCTTGTATTTGGCCCGAAGGTACTTTTAAAATAATAAATGCATTAATTATAATCAGATGAGAATTATAATTAAAGTGTTCATTTGCATAGAGCGTGTGATGAAAGTATGAAGTAAAGAAAAAAAGGAATTTTTATGATTCAGTCATTGACAATAGTGTTCAGTTGTAGGTGTGTAGTACAAATTAAATATGTTAATATGCTTATGTTTACGTAGGTATTGCGAGTTTTACGAGGTCATGGTGACCAGTGGGACAGCCGTGCTCGTGCTCGTGGAATAACGGCGAGCTTTTCTTTGAATGGAATACGTGGCCTTGTCGCTGAAGAAACAACTGATTTGTTTCAAGAAAACGAGGAATTAAAAGAAGAAATTCAGAAACTTGCAGCGCAAATAGAGTTTATGAAAATAGTTCATATGGAAATGCATAATCGGCATATAAAACCTAAAATGGGTGGTTATTTTAGCACACATGGCCATAATTGGGGCGCTCAGAGTCCTAATGCCAAAAATTCATCAGCTAGTTTTATTCTCAAGGTTTTTAACTTTTTAAAATTTTACATTTTTAAGTTAATCTATATTATTAAGAGAATAAGAAAAATTTTGTGGAGAGTGTATTTATATGATAAAATGGATTTTATGGTTAAATTTGGTATCATTAGAAAGGTCTTGACTTGGAGTTGTGCCTTTTTAAGGTTTCATGTCATTCTCACCAATAGTCAATTTTATTTATGATAATAAGTATTTAGGCTGCATTCGAAAATGCTCTTTCTCTAGATACATAATTAAGAAATGACCTTGTATCTCGTGAACTACTGACATTTTTAAAGATATAAGCTCATCTCGACGTTACACTCATCAAGACCTTTCATTTGAGTACCCACATCAATTTTTTATATATTTTTTATATTTATATATATCATATATATGTATATATGAAGAATATATCAAAAATGCATGTGGGTACTCAAATGAAAGGTTTTGATGAGTGTTACGTCGAGATGAGCTTATATCTTTAAAAATGTTAATATTTCACAAGATACAAAGTCATTTCTTAATTATTGACATTTTCAAAGATATAAGCTCATCCCGATATTACACTCATCAAGACCTTTCATTTGAGTACCCACATTAATTTTTCATATATTTTTTATATTTATATATATTATATATATAAAAAATATATGAAAAATATATCAAAATGCATGTGGGTACTCGAATGAAAGCTCTTGATGAGTGTAACATCGGGATGAGCTTATATCTTTAAATACGTCAATATTTAAGAAAGTACAGTGCAATTTAACAAACGTCATTAATTAATAAAGCAAAATTTTATTTATTAACAGCTCACAACTCCCGGCAGTCACATGTGACTGGACAGTGACTGCAAGGTTGCTAGTTATGATTGATTGTTAATTTTTTTTTTTTTAGACGGTAGTAGAACGTGGAGCAACAGCAGCAGCCGCAGCAGCTGTCGAAGATTCAACTTTTCCATCAGGAAGTCTTCACCGCGCTCGCAGAATGGAACTTTTGCGCGAAAGAAAAGCAGCCCGCGAGAGAGAACGCGAAAATCAAGAAACTAATCGACAGCAGCAGAGTACTGTGGATAAAAGTGAAGGTGTAACTAGTACGAGTGGTGCTAGCAGCGGTGAGCACGTCTGACTAATTATCAGCAATGACGAAGTCGGTATAATTTAATATTATTACAATTACTTGATTTTATTACGAACTTAAATAATTTACTAAAATAATTTTAGGTCTGGCTCTGACAAAATAAAGTAAATAATTTTTTAATGCAATCAACATTTTTATCTACAATTTCCATCAAGTTCAACGAGGTGTCTTGTATATACCAATCTCAGTGCTTTTAAATAATTTTATAAATTAAAGACAACTATTTTTTATTTCAAAAATACAAAAAAAAAATTATTTTTCATTTTTCTAATGAGATTAATTTTATAATTATTAATTATTTTATAAATATTAAGCACTGGTTATAATATATATTTCCTGTAAGCATTAGCTTGCGCTAAACTAACGCCGCAGTATCTGTAATTGATACGTTAAAATTCGCACAATTTGTTGTTTGTATATCATCTTTAAAAACTAAATATAAGAAGTAAAGATGCGTTTAATTAATAAAGTAAAAAATTTAATTATATATAAATATATGAATAAGTTATTACAGTGATATAGAAACCCTGTAATGTCTTATAGAAATATTATATAATATAAAAAAAAGGATTGAAAGTTATAAATGATGTATATAATTTCACTGTTGCGTAAATGCCTTATTGAATAGTGAACAAGTGTTTAAATAATAAATGTATTATAATAATAAAATAATAAAGCGCTTCCCTTGTTTCAAATAAATGGGGAGATTATAAAATACAGTTGAATCATGTACATTGATGTGCTAAAATTGTTTCAATAAAAGATGTTATAAAAAAAAAAGTAAGAGCGAATAGGTAAAGGTCAATTTCTTTCACTCTTACTATGATCAAAGTACAATTTTAATTTTTTAATGATAAATTTTTTTTATTTTAATAATTAATAATGAATTTATTGTTATATATGTATTTAAAAATTTATAAAAATAGAAAAAAACGAGTGAAACTATCACAAACGATTTATCAATGAAATTATCAATAATTTCAATACATAATAAGAGTAAATGTAATTATTTATATTTATCTGTGTAATATTTTTATTTTAAACTAAGGTTAGTGTTAAAAATAATCAAAATTATCAACAAAGTAATTAATATTGAGTAATCATTGATTAAATTTTTGTTTTATAAGTAAAGTATAAATTAAAAAAAAATATCACTGCGCTATTAATTAGCAAATACATAGATTTAAGGACTGTTGTGATAATTGGTTATTCACTTGTATTTTAAAGACAATAAAATAATTTTTTGCTCCTGAAAAAATAAATATATATGTCCTTTAAATAAATGTTTGGTTGATATTTTATTGTAAGCATTTTAACATTTAAAAATGAAAATTTATTACATTACAATGAGAGGCGCTAGATGGAATAAAATTTTAAAAAGTAAATCAAAAGTGAGCACTCGAAAGTTTACTTATATTAGACATGCTATTGAAGCATTGTATTATCGATTGCTGTGTTTTAGCGGCTTCAATGTTAGGCTCTATTAAATTTTTATCAACAAATGCAGAGTGTTCTAATAATAAGGGTAACGCTTGCACGTAATTTCCGTCGTACATAATGTTAATCGCGCTGACACGCTTTTTAGTTGACTTAATCAACTGATCGGACAATTTTTTAATGTCAGCCTTGCGCGAGCAGGATACGCGTGTACAGCGTGATTGTTTAACATCGATCTTAGATCCACACAAGCATCGAAATATCGTATCACTTGTAGATAACTTCCAGTCATTCTTACAGGCCTCGCATGTACAAATAAAACTATATTTATCTGATAAAAGTTTCTGACGTGAAAGTAATTCGTCACTTATAAAATGTGGTCCATAGCAATCTAAAATTTCAGATCCTTTTGCGATAAATCTTAACGCACGAACTACAACTTTACCTGAAATTATGTAAAATTAGCAAAAATTTATTTAAACAATTATTAATTTTAAGTTATTAAATTAAATTACCATCTGGATAAGAGTGACGAACAACATTTGGATAGCAGCTATGATTAACAAGACTTACAGTGGTATAAATAGCACCACCAATATTTCGTGGTTCCCATATTTTCGTCCTTTGATCCCAAATATTCTCCACTATTTCATAAGCGTTGCAATTAATCGCTTGCATATGTCGCATTATTGCTACCGCCAGTATTTTTATTTCTTCTTCTTTAATATTTTTCACCCGAGTTTGTTCAAATACATACTGCATACATTTTGCTAAGTAAACAGCTTTTATTGCACGAGCTAAATTTACCCGTGGTTCGGATTTTTTGCAATGAGTCTCCAGTAAATAAACTGTCTTATAATCCAAAGGGTCATACCTACTTATAACTGTTTTATTAAATGTATTGTCATTGTCATTTTCTTCTCTGTGGTAGTTTAAAAATTCTTTATCTAAAGTATTGGATTCTTTGTTGATTATTGCTTTGATAACTGTGGTACGATATGCCAATAAAAGATGGGAGCATTGCTGATTTGAATCCAAATTCTCAAGGAAAATGTCGAAGATCATACATTCATACTTATGGTAACTATTCCAAGCTTCTTTACGGCATTCTTCTGAACAAAAGGCAACCTAAAATAAAAATAATTTATTAATATTTACAGCTAAAAAATTAAAATATAAATAATGATTTATAGTTACTAGTAACCTTGCAGTCACTATGTGACTGCTGTGACTTGTGAACTATAAATAAATAAAATTTAGCTTTATTAAATAATGACTTTTGTTAAATTGCACTGTACTTTCTTAAATATTGACGTTTTTGAAGATATAAGCTCATCCCGATGTTATACTCATCAAGAGCTTTCATTCGAGTACCCACATGCATTTTGATATATTTTTCATATATACATATATATAATATATATAAATATATGAAAAATTGATGTGGGTACTCGAATGAAAGGTCTCGATGAGTGTAATATCGAGATTAGCTTATATCTTCAAAAATATCATTAGTTGACAAGATAGTAAAATCAGTTCTTAATTATTGATATTTTTAAAGATATAAACTCATCCTGATGTTACACTCATCAAGAGCTTTCATTTGAATACCCACATGCGTTTTGATATATTTTTCATATATACATATATATAATATATAAATATATAAAATATATGAAAAATTGATGTGGGTACTCAAATGAAAGGTCTCGATGAGTGTAACATCGAGATGAGCTTATATTTTAAAAAATGTCAATATTTCATAAGATACAAGGTCATTTCTTAATTATGTATCTAGAGATAGAGTATTTTCGAATGCAGCCTAAATATTTATCACAATAAATTGACTATCGGTGAAAATGAAATGAAAACTCGAAAAGGCACAAATTCAAGTCGAGACCTTTGCAATGACACTAAAGTTCACAACTAAAAAAACCGATTTTATCATATGAATATCCTGGACATAAAATTCTTCTTATTCTTTTAATAATATAGATGATACTCACTGTTTGACAATTGGAACAAGGTATCTTCGTTTGTTCCTCCAATGAAAACGACACATGACAGTGCAAACAATTGGTGCAGAGAGCTTGTTTATCAGTACTAAATGCGAACGGTTTGTCAATAATAACGACACTGCCAGCTTTTATGTTTCTAGTGGCAATCAAATGTCTTCCGCGAACAGAATCATGAGAAAGAGACACTGCGTCACTGCAACTCAACAATTTTTTACTGCGTTTTCCATCAACTTTAACACTTTCTGTCGGATTATTGTTGCAGTCAAATTTATTAATGTTCTTGTAAATTAACTTCAATGCCTCGTGCTTTAAAGCACTGAACAGAGTTTTATAATTATCCAATTCATTTTCTCTAGAGATTTGCACACTATTTAGTAATTCAATCGCGTAATCACAGTCTCTGCAACACTTTTCATGCAGCCCAACGCTAAATTCGTGTCTTGCTCGCGACAAAATAATTTCAATGGCCAATAAATTGTCGCTTTCAACAGCAAACAATCCTCGAGTCAGTTGGTTTATTTTGTGAGCAATTGTCTCTCTAGCGGTATCTTTTTTTATTAGATTAATATCACTGAATAAATTACGGGCTTTTTCGTTGTTTTTTCCGACAAACGCTGAACAAATTTTTAACCCAGCCACCTGTTGTTGTTGCATAACCATCTCAATCATCTTGTGTCGGTTCCCAGACTTTGAGTGATTGATAAATTGCTCTATAAAATCTTCATTGTCTTTTATTTTGTAGAAATCGTTAAAAAATATTCCAATATTCATTCTAAAAGTCAAACAAATTATTTTTTATTTTAAAAAAGTATGAAAATTAAGTTAGCCGACATTTCAAAATTTTTAGAAATTTTTTATTGAAAAAATTTCAATTAAAAAATTAAAAAAAAAAATTTCACATGTAAAAAACTTTAAAAGCTATAAGTGCAATTTTTTTAAAATATCTTTTTAGTTGTAATTTAATTAATAAAAAAAATCAAAAATTTTTAGGCGTCTGCTAACTTCAGTGCCATAAAAAAGTAATAAATTAAAAAATTAAAGATACTGATAAAATAATTAAGAATATTATTGAGATAATATAAATATAATTTACAAACTTTAAGTGTGTCATGCTGGAAAGCTGGAGCCTACCATCAAGGTGGTTTTACGATAGATTTGTTGTTGGCACGCACAACTACTCGTTGTCGAGGCAAAACAGAAACTAAAATTAGATGTCGAATCTCTGATGATCGTGTTTGTTGTAGCCCTTGTTGACTTTTAAATGCTAGGCGTATTTCACCGAGGAAAAATAAAAATAATATTTTTTGAGGGGAAAGTATTTTAAGTATTTTAAGCGGAATAATAAAAAAATTTTAATCAATAATATCCATCTGATGGATTATTATAACTTTTTTTACCGTTTAAAGTTTACTTTTAATACTACTGCGGTTTATGTTTATGATGTAATGCTATAGAAATATTTATAACATTTATGATTTCGAAATTTGCATAGTGGGTGTATGGAGGACACGACCAAGCGCAATAAAGCGGTTTACAGCTGATCTTACATTCTTGAGATACATTAAGACCGGAGGTACTACACGGCTAAATTGCTAGATATTTACGTATTATGTTGTGTATAATATATATTATTATGTCTACATGTGTAAATCTAGTTATTTTTGTTTTAAATTACATGAATAAATTGTTGAGAAAAATATTCAATCTTGATTCCGGAAAGACCTTTTTACAATATCAATTTTTTTTTAATTCAATATGTTGATAAAATTTAATAAGTTATTGATAATAATTATAATTATTTGTAACTTAATTATTGTAAATTTTTTTACCTTAAATTTTTCTTCTTACGTGTTATTTAGAAATTATTTTAACAGACGATTAAATAATGCGCCGCACTGTAATGTCATTCTGCGCAGAACACTTGCGCATTTTATTTACATTCGTCAGACGCTGTCTAAATGCTAACACGTGTACTGTATTTAAATTTACTGTATAATGTTTGTATACTAATTTAGAAATTGAAATTTTTATAAATTTTATTTAAATATATAGTATAGATAAAAATTAAATAATTATTAATTTTAAATACATATTTTTATATTTATGTACATGAAAAAAAATATTTAAAAAATAACAAGATTGTTTATGTGTAAAATAAAATAAAAAATATTATTTTTTGAAGGTTATAGAGGTAAGATAAAATTTTTTAAAACAATAATTTTTAACAAGAATGTATATTTAGATAAAAATATTGTATAAATAAGAACATAAATTTTTTGTAGATTAAAAAAAAATAAGAGAGTTACTGCGATGGCTGGACAACAACAGTCTTTCCTACCGGGTTACCCGGCAGCCCACCAGCAGGCGATGATTAACCAGTTTGGAGGCGGCCAAATTGCGCCAGAGTTGATGGGCCCGCAGCAAAGAGGTATGTCATCAGGGATGATGAATCCTCAGCAATTTGGAGCCGGAATGGGAGGAAATGTTGGCTCCAGTCCGATGGCCCAGCAAGTTATGACTCAGGAGCGTCAACAATTAGCACAACAAACTCTTATGCAGCAACAACTCCAACAGATGCAACAGCAAAAAAGGCAATTACAACAGCAGCAACAGACAGCTCTGATTTCTCAGAACAATCAGGCTGTTAATCAAGTTCAGGCACCTCAACCTTCTGTTCCTCAAATGCAGCCTCAAGTTCCACAACAGCAACAACCACAATCGCAGCAACCGAGACAGCAAGAATTTTCTCCAGTTGCTATATGCAAAAAGGGCCAAGAAACAGTCCAGAAAATAACCTTAGCAGTACAGGAACTTTATCAAATGCTTAAAAATATTCAACCTCCAACTGGTGAATATTTTTTTTTTTTTTTGATTTATTAATTAGTTTACAATTGATTTATAATTCATAATAATTATTTCAATTTTTATTTGAAATTGTAGTACTGATTAAAAATAATTATTATAGGGCCTCATCAAGGATTTGCTACAGCGGTTGAAAGCAAAAAATCGGTGAAGATTGCTTTAACTAATATTTGTACGCTTTGTACACACTTGAGAAGGATATATAACTTATGTAATGAGAATAGCCAGCTCCAGGGTATGGAATACACCCACATCGAAAGTTTAATTCCCTTCAAAGGAGAGTGGGATATGAAATCAGATGAAAAAAAAACCTCTGAAGTCTATCGCCATGTCTGTGAAGAGCGTAATCAATTAATTGAAGTAAGTAATTTATTTTTTATCAACAGATCTGTTTTTAAACTATTTGGATTAAATAAAAGACTACTTATTAATAATTGTTTAATAATTTCAGCAATTAACTATAAAAAATCGTCAACTAAAGGAAATTATCGATCATATACGATTGATAACATCAGAAATAAATATAATGCTACATATGCGGCGATCTTAGGACAAATTTGTTGAATGTATTTATTAAAATAAATTATTTTATAAAAACTAAATAGATTTTTTTAATTCATTAATTAGAATAAAAAAATTTTTTAAATGTAATTTTGAATATTTTGTTACCAACAAAGGATCAGACAAAACAAAATTTTAAGATATTAGAGATATAGTCGTCTCACCAAGAGAGTGAACCACCGGGTTTGTTCGGAATTATGCCCCCCTCTATCACGTAAAATTTATGGCACGACTGAATAATCTCTTGATCATGAAGGTAAATAATTATAATAAATAATAATAAATATATATCTATAAGTATATACATGGATTTTCTATATGCATTTAATTTGTAAGTTATTATGAGTAACAAGACTTTACTTTATTTCCATTCACTTAAAAAAATAAATATGTATTCATTAGATAAATAAATATACAGCTTTTAGTTTGTTTATTTTTTGTATCAATTATTCAGTAGATTTATGACTATTAAAAAAATACCATTAGTCGTACCGATATTTTATCTCGGTATCATATTTAGGACTATCAAAAAAATTTTTATTTAATCAGTCATCTCACGATTCGGCACGGCAGGTCTTACTCCACCTCCGTGCCCTGCGATTATTTAAAAGGATCCTCTCTGAGCTTGTACTTGATTATTTGATTAATAAACAATGTTACATTTGGCAAGTATAAACCCAATAGATTACAATTACTCTGTATTAACAAATGCTTTGTTCTGATAGCTACAGTGAAGCTTAAAAGTCACATTAGTAACAAGTTTCTGAGAAAACAGGATTTTTATCTGCTCCATTTATAATTAACTTGAAAAAATTCGCGTTCTATAAAAAGATATTCTGACCTCCCTCGAGCAACTTATTGATCAATCGTCCTAGGCTAGCATCCAATATTCTTCTCTGAATTTTTAAATTATATTTTATTCAGTTTTCACATTTTTTTTTCTTTTTTTTTAGTTTTTTTATTCATTATTTATAAATAAATAAATAGAAGTATCGAAAAAATCACTTTTTATATTCAGCATCGCGAGGATTTATTCTCGAGTATCTATTTTATATATTTTAATATGAAGGAAATAATTTCATTAAAAAAGATATGAGATTTCACATTTAATTTATAGCACACTGATAATATATAAATATGTGTATATATAGGTTTTCTTTATAATTGTTAAATATTAATAAACATTTGTTTTAATTACCACATTCGGCATGCACGGCGGACAAATAATAATTTATCATGTATTCTAGATTTTAACTGCGTATTTTTATGTTATTATACTGCGATAACAAATTTATTAACAAGGTTTAATATTCAAATGAATACAATGCAAAAGAATTTCAATTTACTGTTTGTTTTTTATTATATATATTTTTTTATGACAAAAATCAATACAAAAGTTTTCTACTTTTATATTCAGTTTCTTATTTTCATGGACTATCAATTTAGTTGCATTGTATTCTTATTTAAGTTCACAGACGTATACACACAGAGGATGTAGCAATAAATAATCAAACGTTATAATAAACACAATTTTTTATAATCACATGACACAGGTATTACGACATATTTTTTTTTCTTTTAAAATTTATAATATTTTATGGATAATTTTTTTTCTCAGAATTAACACTTGAGCTGATTTTTTTTTTTTTTTATTAATTTTAGATTTCATTTAAATAAATTAATGTAGATCCACATTAGCATTGAATAAGCTAACTATAATTCAAATTTTACTGCATTGGATACTATAATTAAGTAAGCAAATAATACAAATACAGAATACGCATAACATAAACTGAAAGGAAGTTAATTACTGTTAAGTTATAGGTAAAGTTAAACTGTCCTGATTAATAGCTTTTGTCCTTTCATAAGGGTTCCTTTGATCTAAATAAATCTATAATTATCGTAGTTAGCTCGTAAAATTATTTATAGTTACAGTAGAGCATAAATTATCCATAGGACTCGACAGTTAGTTTATAACTATTATATAATCCCTAATTGATCTTGTTATATAAATTTGCTTAGACATTATTATTAATTCATCTGATAAATTTAAACCATCAATAGATTAGATATAATGAAAATTGTAATCTGTATCGTGTGAAAATTTTATCAAACTAAAATAATAAAAATCAAAAAATAACTTATGTTTATAATAATAAATGTAAAATTCTTTGGTAAAACGTATACTTAAATTTAAAATCAGTCGTATCATTTACTCCATATATATATATAATAATTTGTATATTGTTTTATATAATAATTAATAAGTAACATTAATGTATTCTTTGATCCTTAGTCTTCCAAAAATCACTTTATAAATTTAAGACACACCATATAAATATTTTTTTTTAAAAAAACGTAATTTTCAATCTTAATTTTAGAAAAATATCTTCAGACTGACGTTTAAGTATTTTAAATAACATTTATACAGAAATTTAAGAATAAAATAAAAATATATTTTTTCTTTTCCATATAATTATTCAATTATTAACTTTTATTAACGTTTATCTGAAGATATCTAAACTTATTCAAATGAATCATAACTCGTGATCATTATTTCTTGTCTCTCGTTTTAAATATAATTTTAGAGAAGCGATTGATCAAATTAATATAGAATGCGTTGTGGATAGAGGTATCCTTGGGGTTGTGAATTCATCATCTGCGAAAAGCTCACAATGTCATTGAGATTTCGACCGGCGTAAGAATCATATCCCTATTAATTATAATTAATTTATTAAAATTGACTCTGATCAGAATTAAAATTAAAATTTAATTATTTTAATTTAGAAAATTAAAAAAAAAAAACATTTAATTTTAAACTCAATTATTTTTTAATTTAAAAATAATTGCCTCTAAATTTTTAACGGATGTTAATAAATATATTTATAATCAATTTATGGATAAGCCATCAGTAATCCATTTAGATAACAAAGATAATAAATAAGATTAAAAATTTTTATTTTACCTGAGAACGTTTCCGTGAAACTATAAACCTCTTTTCCGATGGGTAGTAAGTGTGCTGAGGATAAAGTGAACCATATTGAGCTGCACCATATTGTGCATTCTCATAAGGAGGTACATACTGAGTGTTATACTGCTCATAAGGATTAACTGGATGTGTTCTCGGGATTCCAATTTCCGACGGTACAACATCTGAGTTAAGATTAAAGTGATGTGGAGAATAAATGGGTCCTTCTAGCCATGCACCAGCTGAATAAACCATAAATTCAAAAATTAATTAGCATTTTACATTAGCAAGATTAAAATAAAATATAAGCTACAAATTATTACATCTTGGGTCCTCGTCTTCAAGTCCTGCAACACTACCGTCGTCGTCTATGTTTTCGTACTCGTCACTGCCGTAGTTTCTCCAGTTTCTGAAGCATAAAATAAATCATCTGTTTAGTTGGAAATAAAAAAAAATACAGAAGATATAGTAATGTTATTTTATCTTATGATAAATGATAAATTATAAAAAAAGTTTAATGGTATTTTACCTGTTACGAGAGCTGTTTTCCCAGAGGGAGAGCAAGGCTAAAAGATCTTCACGGTCGAGAGCTCGTTTGTATCTTAGTTCTGGGTAAGCAGGTGGGCTGTAAGAAAAAAAAATTTATTAAATCTATTAATATAATAAATAAGAGTTTGTTTATTTGGTTGTTTTGTTTTTGAAACTTTATTACCATAAAAACTTTTTCTATTATTTAATAAAATGTTAACTAAGTTTTAATAACTGTTTTTTATTGAATAAATGTTAAAAGTAAGAAATTTATTTATTTTTTGTTTGAAAACTAATATTTATTTTTTAAAAAAAAAACTAAGTTAATATATGAAGGACATTAACTACAAAACTAATTTACTGAGAAATAACCAAGTCTTAAGTAAAAGTTATAATTACTTATTGATTTTTTTTACTCTTCTCTGAAATAACAACTAGAAAATACAAACTCTAAAATTCTTCTCCGCAAAAAGCAAGAACTAAGCTAATTTGCCTAAGAAACAAAATAAACTTTCATTCACTGACAGCTTAATGTATGTATATACATACCTATTCATGGAAAAAAACATCTTACAATAATGGTTTGTTTAACTTAATTTTAACGCTTAATATGCAAAGGCAGAGTAAACGAGATAGTATTAATGCATTTAGGGAGCAAATATATTCAGTCTATTCTATTGAATAGTAGAGAGGAGTGCATAGTTTGTAGTTTGTGGAGAAAAGCTCAAGAGGAAGAGAATCGGTTAATGTTGTTATCTGGCAAACTGCCAAGTCATCAGTAGTCCTTCGCTATGACCTAGTTTCCCTGGAGGCTCCATTCAGCTTTTTCGTAGCACACCAACCAAGCTTCAAGCTCACTCTCCTATTTTCCCTTTCTCTCATTCTATTTCCTTTGCGTCATGAGTATCGAACGCTCAGCCGCAGTGTGCAGACTCCAAGACCAGGATGATATCTATACACTCGTACATACATACATACAAAAGCATTACTGTAACACAACTTTCATTCTGTGACCAAGTTATCCAGAATTAGAGTGAGAGAATCGAATAGAGATAGAAGTACGTAACGTAAATAGTCATAGCACGATATTTTCCCTCTTATCTCATTTCAAAGTGTTACATTACTTCATTTTACTATTATCCTAAACCTGACTAGCCAATTATCAATTTTTCTTCTCACTATACTGAAAAAAAAATTAACTTAATTCGAAAGAAAAATTTTTGAACCAAGAAAATAATTTTGAAGAGGGTAATTTTCTTGAATCAAGACAAAAAATTCTTGAATCAAGTAAAATTTTCTTAAATTTAAAAAAATTTATTAGTTCAAGAATTTTTCTACTCAAATCACACAGTAAAAAATTTTGCGTCATTGCGTCAAAAAATTTTGTGTTAAAAATTTTTATGTTAAATATTTAACACATTTTTGTGTTGATTTAACAGAAATTTTTAACACTAAGTTTTTAGAAGCAATGAAGCAAAATTTTTTACTGTGCAAGAAGATAAAGTTCTTCAAAATTATAAACTTGATTCAAGAACATTTTTTTTCTGTCTAATAAGACTCGTGATAAATTTTTCGCCTACAGTATTCGATAAATTTTATTTTGTATTGAATTTTAGTGAATGATGACAAGTCCGCCCACAAACCCACACCAAGAAATTTACTTTTCTAGTAGTATCGTGTGGAATTGACAGAATACATAGTATCTGATTGATATAAAACATGATTGATGTTTACCCTTAACCGGGTATTTGCGGTAACTTCTACTTTTATATTCACACGTCTATTGAATTATTAAGTCTGACCTTTCGTTGACTAACTCTACTGAGTTCCGTTTCTGTCTTTTCATAGCTCCGTAAACTGTCAAATACTAAAATTAACAAGTTGTCATGACATAAAATTATAAATTAGTATATTACAACCCTAGGCCAGAAAGTTGGATTTCCTGGCGTATGGGATATGATGGCCGAGGCGTAACCGAGGCCATCATATCCCATACGTCAGGGCATCCAACATTCTGGTCGTGGGTTGTATATTATTTTTCTTGCTCTCCACCCGAAAGTACGCAACTCCGTGGAAGGGGTTTTGCAAAACCGAGGCGAAGCCGAGGTTTTGCCGGGTGCGAGGGGCGCGCCGCCCGACTTTTGCAAAGCCGAGGCGAAGCCGAGGCTTTACTGGTCGGGGCGGACAAAAAAAAAGTAAAAATTAAAAAATTAAAAAAAAAAAAATAAGTTATTCTAAAGTTTACTAACAACTGTTCTAATTAAGAGTAATAAAATGCACAGAACTTGGCACAAATATTTAAACTCGTTCTAATAACAGAATTTATTTTTTTGAGTTGATTAAAAATTAATTTTTAGTTAATAATCGACGGCTAAGAAAGATTGAAATTAAATAATTAGAAGCTTGTAGAGTACATGTACCTATTATTTTATAAACATTGCTTGACTAGCTGTCAAAATATAAAAGAAGTCCACAAAACTCTTATATTTTATTTCATATAAACTTTTTATATGAATCATTTATGTAGTGTTTATTATTAAATAGTTCATTAATAATAATCTAGTTATATAGTATATTACATACCTAGGCCAGTAAAATAAGAAAAGTCTCAGACCACATGTAATTGTTGGCCGAGGCGAAGCCGAGGTTGACAAACATGTGGTCTGAGGCTTTACTTTTTACTGGCCAAGGTGTGTATACTATTTTTCTGCTCGATGTAGCCGGAATGTGGCAACTTTGTTTAGCGCAGCGGCCAGAAAGTTGCCACTTTCCGGCCGGTGGGCAGAAAAAGATATTTATAGTTTAATATTATAATACGAATGTGGTATTGATTAAATAATAAACGATGATTATAAAAAATAGCGCGGAGAAGCATATGACGGAGATGAAGAATAAAGCAAATAGAGTAGCAAATGCAACGTGGGGCTTAATAAAGAGAACAGAAAGGAACAATATGAGAGACCGAAGATACCTGTATAGCACACTGGTGAGAGCAGGATGCTTATATATGGAGTGGAAACGTGGGGATGTGAAAGAGTGAAAAAAATAGAAGTGATACAAAACAAATTAGACAGGTCAGCGTTAGGAGTGGCAAGAAATACACCGAAATACATAATAAGAAGAGAGATAGGAGATGAGGAGATTAGTTGGATAATTATTAAAAGATTCTGGAGGTATATTATAGAAATGACAGAAATGGAGGATCAAAGATGGCCGAAAATTTGTCTAAGAGAAGAGATATAAGAGGAATTATAAATAGATGTCCAACGAAATGGGGTAAAAAAATGAAGATATTGGCGGAAGAAATGAAATGTGAAGAAGTAATAAAGATGATATATGACAGAGAGGAGATAGAAGAAATAAAAGAAAAAATTAAGGTTGGTCTTGAAAATTATAGAACAAAGCAGAGAAACGTAGAAATAGAAAAGATAAACAAATCAACCTACAATGACATGTTTAAAGAAATTCTGTTAGAGGAGGGAAATGAATACTGGAATGAAAAAGAGGTCAGTGGTGGAATGAAAGAAGTGTGGGCAAGAACTAGGTGTGGAAATTTGACAAGAGCGGGGAAAGCTGGAATGGAGGACTGGACATGCAGGTTGTGTAAAAAAGAGAATGAAACAATAGAACACGTAATAATCTGTGAGGCGATGAAGAACAAAATAAGTGTAGAAGCGAAAAATGAGCTGGAGGAATGGTGGAATGAGAGTGAGGGAGACAGTGCGAGGGAAAAAATAGTGCGAGCACTAAAAGGAAAAATTTGTAAAAAATTGTGTTAAGTATTGAGAGAAATAGAAAAGAAACTAAAAGGAAATGAAGAGAACTATGAGAGTGAGAATGTAATGGAGGTATAAAGAATGATCCAAGTCATGTAAATAGTGAGAGAGAGAGAAAAAGAGAGATGGAAAACTGGAGGGGATAAATGAGAAAGAAAGCATGTAACAAAAAGTGGGATGCGTCTGTGATACAAATATAATTATAAAGAATTGATAGAATAATAAACAAAAAAATGTGATGCAAATAAAATAATATAATGAAAAGAAAAAAAAAAGTAAAATATTAGTTTATTAGACAATTAACATAGAAGCTGGAAAGGCAAAAAATTATAATTGAGATTAATAATGGATGTTACCAAAGTCTGATACCTAATATGTAATATGAAATGTATTATGAATGTGGAGAATTTAGTCTGAAAAAATACTTATAATTGTAATATGTAATATGTAATATTTAAAATATTTTTGTAAAACACATAATTGTGATACAAATAAAACTCTTAACTAACTAATAAACGATGATTTGATAAATTATTGCTGCGTGGGTGAAAAATAGTGCTTCTGTTAAATTATCATCGTTACTTGTGTAAATATCAAACCGATTTAAGATATTGGCTCCCGTATTGAATAAATAATAAACGGAAAAATTCAATAGACTGACTTTAAAGAGATAATGTGAATTGATAGAGGAACAGAGACTGAAAAAGGGTTGTAGTTGATGACATATGATACGGTCAAAGCGAAGGACGTCAGTGAAAACAGATCAAACGACTTTGTTCTCGATAAATTTAAGCGGTCATGCAGTTGGTTAGTTCTTCAATGGCAATCTACAGGTGGTCTTCTGTAAAGCCTTTTTTTGTAACACCATCATTCTTGCTAAAAGTTACTTGTCATTTGACAGTGATGTTCATTAAATATAAATATAAATGAGACGTTGTTGAGAATAAAAGGAAAAAGTCTTGATGGCTTTTACTTTGATTCTTATTTAAGTTAATAGCTTTTTCAAATTAATTTTCCTTGCTTTATTATTATAATTATTATTACTATGGTAGCTTTATTTTATTTTGCGCTGTGGAATATAATGAAAATAGGTATTTGGCGTTATTACCAAATGGAATAACAAGGAAAATAAGTTACCTTCGTTTTGCTTGAATTAAACTGGTACGTTGAGTACTCCGGGTGGTAGCGGGTGGTGGAGAAACGGTTGTCGCTGATGGTGATGAAGTTGATTGGGTTGGGCGGGCTGTAGATGTAGGACTGGAATTATTATTATTACTTCCGGCTTTCTCAGATCTTTTACGACGGTCTTCGCTGTAGGTAAAGTAACGTGGGTACGCTGGAATTTCCCAGTTTCTTGGTAAATCATCGTTGACCTCATTCATCATTACTTTACCGTACCTAAATAAATTTGCAAAATAAATATAAGAATAAAAATATAATTTATTAAATATTAAGTCTAACAAATCAAGTTAGTATCTTAAATGATAATATTTAACAAAAATATTTACAGATAACTTTTTTCGTAAGGTGAAAGACTGTCACGTTCATACATCGGGTTCAACGGTTGTTTGTAGTCACTAAATCCCTCTTCATCCGATAAAGCTGCTTTTACATCTTCAAATCCTGATGTTCCCAAAGTTCCTTTTTATCAATGAAATTATTATTAAAATTTATGCTTGATTTAATATTGAATAAATAAATAAATCAATCAAATTACTTTTTTCAACATTCGTGTTGTGCGAAGTAGACGCTGCTGTATTGTCAACTCGTCGGTTCTGCTGATTTCCAAACATCAATATTTCTTGCGTTCGCTTGGCTGTAATTATACCAAATTATTTTATTAAATTCAATTATATTTTAAAAATTCAATTAAATCTTTCAAGTAAATTTCTTTAAATCTTATTAAATTCAATTAAAATTTTGAATACCTTTAGGTCGCATAATTTGATCGGCTTTAGCAACATCTTCCAATAATCCAGTAGCTAACGACTCAACGGAAACAACGACAATTCCCACGAAAAAAAATCGTGTCCAGGAAAAAGTCATCTAAAAATAATTCATAAAGTTTTTATCAGATTTATAATTCATGAGATTATTTTAATAATAAACGGAGAATTATGCATAATGAACGATAAAAAATACGCCAGTAAATTTCTCTGCTCTTACTTTGTTATTCATGATAATAATCTGTTTAATCTATAAAACTTGTATTAACATAAATTTTATATTATCAGAAAAAGCATTGAGATCAATGAACAGGCTCGAAAAAAAAAAAAAAAAATAAATAAATAAATAAATCGCAAGCAGTTGAAATGTAAAGCACGAATTTTGACACTTGTTGCCTCGAACAAACTCGTCAGCAATTCCACGTAAACAGAATTTTCAAGTGCCATTTAAAATCGATGAAACTAAATTAAAAAATAATATAAAATTGATGAAAATATTTTAATTAAAATAAAAAATACCTTGTCGGATTTTTTCCTCGAAGAAAGATTAGTTTTGTTGTAATACTTGTCTGGTTAAAATATATTATCGCCGAGATCACTGAGTTCAGTTGGAGCACCTCCGTATTCAACGGCGGACAATCCAGAAGTGAGCCAACACCTATCGTGAATAAAGTCCCGGGTAGCAATGGGGTGCTCGGGGCAAATGAGAGGCGGAAGCCGTGTAGGTGGGTACGGTCGATCAACCATCTCTACTCTGACATCCCCTCCAGTGACCAGCATTCATCGTCATCCCCTTCTTATTTTTATATTTTTTTTTGTTGATGTTTTTTTCTAGATAAAAGAATGTTATGAATAGAAAGAAAAAGTACCGATATATATATCTTTGACTTTGACTTGGTTCACTGCTATTGTAGTCTTCTTTAACACTTATCATCTTTGTACATTTGTGTGTTGAAAAAATGTACTGGATATCATATCCAAGACACTCCATATTTTTATGATTATGTATTATATAAGTAATATTACTTAAGAATTTCATGTAGAAAAAAAAAATTATACGAGTAAAAAACTAAATTTTCAATTTTTGTTAAAGAAAAAGCGAGTGGTTGAGACTATAAAAAAATTTATAAAGAGCTTAATAAAAAGCTGCAGTGTAATTGGTTTTTTTTTTTAACTCATAGGTACTTAAGCTGGTAATTACTAAAACCCAAAAGCATATTAATCAAAGTATATAATTAAACAAATATTGTAACAGATTAATCTCAAGTGAAGATTAATATTAAATTTTTATTTTATTATAAACTTTGTAACTCAAAATGAATATTTCATCTGAGAGATTTAATTTTAGATGAATAAAACTTGACGTAGTAAAAGTTATGTTTAATTAATCTTCCCAAGAATAAAATGTATGAATTTATATAATTTAAAATTAGAATATGAAGCTAAAGAAAAGTGGAAACTCAGAAGCAGAAGGAAGATAAATTGATTATAAAGTAAAAAACAAAAAATTCAAGCCGACCTGAGTTTCCCTCAATCGTTTTACTCAGTAACTAATACAAAGTTTTACTTGTCTTGTTTTGTAAAGATCAGCTGGCTTTATATTTTACTCCCTTTCTCTGTTTTTATACCATGTAGAAGTAATATCACAACTACAGTGAATAACTGAACGCCCACGTGACTGTAACACAGCTTAAACGCCTACGTTGTCACCACTTGGTTCTTATAAGCCAAATTTAACGTAGTATACAGGTACACACGTAAATCAAACGGAGAAAATACCTATTCTTGTTCTATTTTATGCTTCACGTGAAACACAACAACACACACTTGCTCTTTTCATTATACATGTACGTCAGTTTGTATTCATCCTCTTTTTTCCATTGATCCTTTTTGATTAACTTCTCTCTAAATTAGTTTTTCTTAATATTCCTGAAAGAATATTTATCATTTAACTTTAATAGCTAAAAATAACTTAATGGACTTTCTAATTTAATTTCAATATTAATAAATAGTAATTACTTACTCATCAATATAATATATAGAAAAATAAACGAATCATCTAATGGATTGTAATTCAATTAACAAATCTAAATTATAATATTATAACAATTTATTTAATTTAATTTAATAATTAATTCATTTATTAGCATAAAAAAAATTAGGCTGGATAAACGTGATAAATGAAGAAAGGAAAATCACTGAAACATTTTCAGAATAAACAAAAAGAATTTAGTAGGTATATTATATAGATCATAGGATAGTCAGAAATAAATAATAAAAAACAAAAAGGAAGAAGTGGAGTGAGAAAGAAGCTGGTGGAAATTTTGTATCTCCTGATTTCTATAGCAGCAGAGTAGCCCCGGTCTTTGCGTGGGCGCGAGCACCAGTATCTGCACAAGTGCGAGTTGAAAAGAGAATGAAGAAAGCAAGAGAATGAGAGTAAGCGAGAAAGAGTCAAGCTCCGAGACCTGAGGGGTTGTTGAGGAGGGTTGAGTAGAGGCCAGAGGGTAGACGGAGAGAAGAGGTCGCTGAGTATGAGGGGTGAAGGAAAAGGTAACCATTGACGTCACCCGTTGGATTGTTGTTATAGCGAATCAACGTTGCCACATGGCTTTACTTGTATATATTAAGTAAGAGAAGAGACTACTTCATATAGCATGTTTGTTTTTCAAAGAAATAAGGCTAAACTATCGGCAGCTGTTTGGCCCAGGACTTCAATATCTTAATGTTTCAATGCGTAGAGGTGACATTAGACAAGATTACTTACGTCTGCCAAGAGCAAATAGCAATATGTATGAGCAATCTTTTATAATCCATGGCATACGTATCTGGAACTCGTTGCCACCTGGGTTGACAACTGCAGATAGTCTTCCTGAATTTCAAAATGCCTCTTTTTCATTTTTTCTGGCTGATGACAATTAAAATCATCATTATATTTGTTTAAATAATTATAATTTTTGCTTTCAAAGTATTTTCAGAGTGTTTATGAATTTACTAATTAGCTACTGTATTAAGTAACTTTATTGTATTAGGTAACTTTAAACTCTTGCTCTCAAAATTATAGAACTATTGTAATTGTATTTTAATACTGTATACTTGTATATGTATAAAAATGTATTGCTTATTGATGGCCTTGAGGGAGCTTCGGCTCTAAGGACAAATAAAATATATCTATCTATCTATCTATCTATCTATATATTGCTTAAAATCATCTCTTTTTGTCAAAGGACTCTTTCTCGCTGATGCTAATGCTGGGTTGTATTGTGTTAAGGGTACGATAGGTGAAAGTAACTATGAAAAGACTACCTCAGCCATCTACTGTATATTTACTACCCTTTTTAAAGGTAAGAGGGTAAAAAACGTATGAGTATCAACTGTGAGGTATGAGAAGTTTACTTGGAGGAACTTTAAAATGTGTTTTCTACATGGCAAGATCTTTTGATAATTTTTGTCGATAACGTCACAACATTTTATTCATCCTTGTAATCTAAAGAAATTCTACCTCACGTAGCTCATATTACTGTTGTTTGACACAGACTTAACGTGCGGTCATTTTTAGTAGATTTTATAAAAATCCAACTATTGTAATTGTCTTCATGAAGCAACTTTTAAAAAATTTTGCTACATTCCGACTTATCTAAAGCTGAGTCAGAAAATAAATATGGTTCAAAAGTTTGGCCAATTACGGAGGTCAAATTCAAATTTGAGCTGAATCAGACAATTAAGTTAGAAATTATAGCATTTCAAAATTTTGAAAATTCCACATTTTTAGATTTAGATTTTGATTATTAATACTAAGGCACAGGCCAAATGGCAATTTCAATTACATAGTATATACAGTTTTTACAAGAAAGCAATTTCTGTGAGTAATATAGTATTGCATAATAATTAATTAAATTCATTTATATATAAATAAGGTAAAAATCAAATTAAACTTGGAAGTTAATATAGAAAAATAATAATTTAAAATATAGAATTTTAATGTCACCAAATCAGGTGGTAACTCAGCATAATAATTCTGCGAATTGCACTTACTTCATCCTTATATTTTAATTTTTAATCTTCAATTTATTAAATTTAAATTTATTATTTATTAGACTTCGTTTTAATTATCAAGATTTAATAAGTAATTGAAAACTTCTTTTTTGAAGGCTTGTAAACTACTATTTACTGCTTTTCCTTCGAATAACTTTTGAACGCGTCAAAATATTTGAATTTTGTAAAATGCATCTAAAAGCTGAGAAAATGAGCTTTAATTTACATATTGACATGAATTTCTGAACCAAAAAATATCTATTCTGGGTTCATTTCAATGAAATTTTACTTTCGTTTCGTTTGGCTTGATGATTGTAATTTAATGTTAAATAGAAACATTTTCAATAAATTATTGATATTAGAATTCTACTGACTGAATTTACACTATTGTTTTAACAAAACTAGCAAATGTTTATTTTGAACAAAATTAGTTCTAAATAGTTTTAAATTAATTATTGAATTTTTTTTTTTTTTTCAAAAATGTATTAAGTTATATATAATTATTTTATAAAAAATAAATTTTCTTTATTTGAGAAATCTACTTCTATTTCGGCTGCCGAATGGGCTTTTTATACTGAAATCTATAATTGTATTTTACGCCATCGTGATCTTGTAGATTTTTTTATTTCTACTTAAGCATGGAATAATTTTATTTAATCATTTTCATGAAGAAAAAAAAATCATATTTATGAAAATCTTTAATACTTATATATTTTTTTTTTTTTTTTTAATAATAATAATTTAATATTAACCGGTGAAAACGTAAATATTAACATCGATAATTTTATCCTCTAAACGAGTTAATAAATACGGAAATAAATACCCATTTATGAAAATTAATTTTAAATATAGGAGTCGGGAAATAGTAGGAAAATTTATTCTTTTGCAAGCTCGTAAGCTACCGTTGTCCTCATTAGAGTTATTCATTCAAAGTCTTATTGTATTATTATTTTTTATCTTCTGCGACATAAAATATAAAATGTGAAGTATAATGAAGTAGAAATTTTCCAAGTCCTTGCGCATCATGTTGATACATACTCATAGGTATACGTTTATTAAATATATATACAGATATTAAATTTCAACAACCATGTCAGCATCAGCAGCCGATCGATGAAACAGTCCACTAGCTCACTGGCTGCGTAGTAAAGCCAGCCTGTTGATATGTTTATATGAGCCCTGGGATTCATTCATGAAATACTGTAAAATTGCCTGCTGTTAATTCTTTGATATATTGTTGTCTCAACAACATGATTAATGTATTTGGATTTTAAACTCT